AGGCCTCAAGCGGGTGGATTGTGAGATAGGGGAACGAAACATTCCTTATTAGGGTGTAAAAATCTCTCCCTAATAGACACGTTTTAAAAACTATGATGGCTGATGGCAAAACATTTCTTATTAGGGTGTGGAATCTCGACCTAATAGACGTGTTTTAAAAATCGTGAGACTAACAGCGATACGTAACGATCCAAAACATACAATATGTACTAGTGGTGGGCTTAGGAGCAAGCTTTTCTAGAAGACAAAACAAAACTTCACATTGAATAAGTTATATTGCAGATCAAAGAGAATTTCATGTTGGTTGAACGGGCAAACAAAAAGATCCTAAAACCGAAGTGAATAGATGTAGACGAATTTACCGTATCAGCAACAACATGATCAAGAGAGGGAACAAATCCATGTAATCCATCACTTCCACCATGGCCTACAACAAGAACACAAAACAACAGATATAACGCAATCAAAATCCTTCCCCAGAATATCAAATTTCTAATATCATTCCAGAATCTAAAACAAAATTCATCGTTGTTCAAGTGGGAAAACAGCAGAGTAGTGACAAAATTCATCCAAAATAGCAGATAAATTAGTTTGTAATGAACAGAATTCATTGTAGAGAGTAGAACATTATGAACAAATCAAAACAGAAACAGGAAATCTTTAGAAAAACACAACAAGAAAGAGATGATGTGAATAGCTTAGCTACCTATCCAATCTATTGCATAAACGCCAAAGTTGCAAGAAGTTAGCTGGGTCGCAAAATGTGCATATCTTCCACTGTAAACAAACACCAAACACCATAAACACCAAACAAAAGCTGACATAAAAAATCCATAACAATAAACAAATAAATCTGGATGTTCATATGAAATAACTTTAAGATCACCTGTGCTCGTTAAGCCCATGAATGATGATTAAAATACCCCTAAAAAGACATCAACAGAGCTTGGCGTCAGAAAACAAGGAAGCTTCCCCAATCGATATACAAAACGATCATCAATTCAAGAAAACTAATCACAATTCTCTATCATCCTAAAAACCAGTATCATTTAGGTAAAATTCGTCGAACAATTCCACAAAAATTTCAAAAACGCAAACTCAAACCCTTACTTCAATTCACCGGATTCCGGAAACCAGGAGCGACAAAACAACGCGTTTCTTTTAACGCCATAGAACAAAGAGGTATTCCAACGGCCGCGAAACCCTCCGTCGCCAAGGTTTACGCCCATTTCGACGCCCTCAGCCAACGCCCTCCGTCTCTGTGTATCATCGTCCTCTCTCCGCCACACCAATCGCCTCTTCTTAACGGAGGTCTGGACCGTAGGCGTTGATGAAGCCGGTGAACGGCGGCGGCGAGGCCAGAGGAGGAGAAGCAGAGAGAAGAGGATGGTATGAATGAAAATGATGAAAGTCTTCAGGGTTTTGAGAATCGGAATTATCCGATTGCTCGCACCGGAGGTTAGCTGGTCCATCTCGGCCCTTGACATGGCGGGGATGGAGAATTTCACAGCGCGAATCGATAAACGAAGACGATGAAACGAATTTCGGACAACCGAAACGAACAGAAAAAAAAAAAAAAAAGAATCGGAAACTGAAGCAGAAACGAGCCTCCAACCAATGGGTATAAATAATCTATTCGAAGAGAGTCAACGCCAAGACGGAGACTAAAATCTAGACCGTTCGTATTTTAAGAGACATATTCAGTGGTCAGGATCGATTATTTAGCTTAATAAAGCTGCTCCCGACTGCAGAGAATAATTCAATGAACGGACCGCGTGAAATTAATTCGACGGTGACTATGAGGTGTTGATCGACGTGGCGGCGTTGTCTATGTTTTTCTTTTTTTTGTTTTTAAATAAATTATTGTTTTGGAAAATTAAAATTTCCTAATTTATTTTACTAAATATAGTAATTTTCTCATTTTCTTTTTTTTGAACTCCACAAATCTTCATTTATTAATAATTGTTTTTAAATTTTTCGAAACTCCAAGAATATTTTTTAAACAAAATATTAACCATCCTTTTAAAATTATCATAAGGGTATTTTTTTTATTTTTTTAAGTTTAATAAATTTTGAAAAGTATTTATCCTAAATTTTATTCAACTAAAAGTCAAAACTAATGATTCCAAAAATCTCTTTTGACACTATTTTAAAATTTCAATGACTCGATCATATAAGCAAAATACATATTTTTTTTTTTCATTATAGACGCAACTTGACAGCTTAAAATTAAATTCTTTTAAAATTTCACTGAGTGCCAAACCCATCAAGATATTTAATGGAAGGCTTCCAACGAACCATACACATTGTCATCTCCTCCGAGCTTACCAAAAAATAGGGTTGCAATGGCCAGAAAGCTACCGCCACCTCATCTTCAAGGCGGAGGCCACTACCTCTCGGAGGACTGCACGGCGGAGTGCAAGACAAGTTTATGGGGAAGCTTATTTTACGGTTAATAATCTGATTCCCATAAACTGAGATTTATATCTCATCTCCTTCTCGTGGTAATTTTTACGCAGTAGAAAACATTTTTAAAAAGTATATATATATATATATATATATATATATATATATATATATACTTCCTACTCAAGCTTATATACTATGAGCCATTGTTATTACTTTCTTGCTTGCTTATATAACGTCTCTTTCAAAAATCTCTCTCTGCCCTTGTTTTCTAAAACCTTCTCTTAAACCGAGGTCAGAGGCTCGAACATACGTCGCTTGGCCGTAGGCGACGCAAGAACAAATTGGCTTAGCTCACTTGTCGTTGGAAAGTGAGTGCCGCACAATAGCAAGTTCGCTGTCATTAAGAGTGCGATTGTGACGATATATATATATATAAGTGGAGCAATTAATATGGTTATGTATTGAAGTAATCATAATTAGTAATATTAAAATTAATAGCATATAAGTTGTAAACTTTAGGATATGTATTAAAATAATTGATTTATAAATTCATGGCTTTAATATAGTTTTATTTATAATATAATGTAAGTAAATTTTAAAATTTTAAAATAATATAATTTTGATATGATTAAATTAAAATAAAATAAAAAATATAAGAAAAAACAGAAAACAGGGTTGTGAAGGGGATGTGAGAAATTGGTGGGTGTGTAATGCCACAGAGTTTTTTACGGTAGAATAGCGGAAATCGGTTCCTCAATGGTTGAATTTCTTCATTTTTTCCAACATCTTAGGACACGTTTTCTTTTCCTTTTCTGTCTCTTACTTCCATATTTCCAAAACTACCCTTTATCCACTTTTATTTATATAATTATATAATATTAGAAAATTCATCGACCAAAGTAGTATTTATAAGCTCGATTGAGAAACAAAATGAGTGCACGACTGTCACAACTCGCTAAACATACTTTAATCATGTTTGAGTTAGTTGAAGTTTGCGTATGGCATTGGTAAAGATAAAATTGTGTAACTTAGTTCACGTTCGAGATTTGAATTTCTCTGTTGTCTTGCTACTTTCCGCGAACTTGATTTTCAATTGAAAATCATCACTTGACTTACTTTAGAGCACGACGAATAGGGCGACCTGGTCTGAGAGGTCGCCTAGGGCTCGACTAAAGGGGGTTGGCTTAACTTGTTTGTAATAGCCCAAGCCCACTATTAGTAGAAATTGTCTACTTGGACTCGTTATGTATTGTTGTTAGCCTCACATTTTAAAACATGTAATTTCCACAGTTTTATAAGAAATGTTTTGTTCCCCTCTGCAACAGATATGAGATCTCACAATCCACCCTCAACAGATATGAGATCTCACAATCCACCCTCTTGGAGGCCCATCGTCCATAACAACACCCTACTAAGTGTCAGACTTTGATACCATTTGCAACAGCCAAAACCCACCATTAACAGATATTGTCCGCTTCGACTCATTACGTATCGTCGTCAATCTCACAGTTTTAAAACGCATCTATTATGGAGAGATTTCCACACCTTTATAAGCAATGCTTCGTCCCCCCTCTCCAACCAATGTGGGACCCAATGTCAGACTCTGATACCATTTGCAACAGCCAAAATGCACCACTAACAGATATTTTCTGCTTCAATCTGTTACATATCGCCATCAGCCTCACAGTTTTAAAACACATCTACTAGAGAGAGATTTCCATATCTTTATAAGCAATACTTCGTCCCCCCTCTCCAATCGATGTGGATCCTAACATCCTCACCGACACACCGCTCGGTGTCAAGCTCTAATATCATTTGCAACAGTCAAAACCCACCACTAACAGATATTGTTCGCTTCGACCCGTTACATATCACTGTCAGTATCATAGTTTTAAAACACGTTTAGTAGGGAGAGATTTTTACACCCTTATAAACAATGCTTCGTCCCTCCTCTCCAATTGATGTGAATCCCAACATCCTCACCGACACACCGCTCGGCGTCAAGCTCAGATATCATTTGCAACAGACAAAACCCACCACTAACAGATATTGTCCACTTCGACCCATTACGTATCACCGTCACAATTTTAAAACGCATCAACTAGGGAGAGATTTCCACACCCTTATAAGCAATGCTTCGTCCCCCTCTCCAACCGATGTGGGTCCCAACATCCTCACCGACACACCGCTCGGTGTCAAGCTCTGATATCATTTGCAACAAGCAAAACCCACCACTAACAAATATTGTCCGCTTCAACCCGTTACGTATCACTGTCAGTCTAGTGAAAGATTTCCACACCCTTATAAGCAATGTTTTGTCCCACTCTCCAACTGAAACGATCAATACCCTAAAATCTAATTCAATAACATAATGTTTCGTCTCCCTCTCAAACTACGGCCCAAAGGGCAATAAAGTAATTACTCACACAAGGCCATTTTTCAAAATTGAAATATAGTAAAAAAAAACTTATCCATTTGTTAAAAAAGAAAAAAAAAATTAAATTGAGGTGTCCGCTGGTCCCCATGGGGCGCAACCGATTCTCATTGGATAGCCATAATTTTACAGTCTTCTCTCATAGCCACACTCTCTCCCCTCTCTCACTATTTTTTCTTCTCTTCTCCTTTTCCCCAAATTTCCCCCAAACCAATTTCATCAACAATGGAAGCTCCCGAATATTTCCACAACAATGCTTACTGCTCCCAATTCACCTCCGACAAAGACGCCGCCGCCGCCACCACCGCCGACCACTTCATCGTCGAAGAGCTTCTCGATTTCTCCAACGACGACGACTCCGCCATTGCCGACTCCGGCGGCTTCTTCAATAACGTCACCTGCTTCTTGAATGGAAACTCCGCTGAATCCTCCGCCGCCACGGCGGTGGAGAGTTCCAATTCCTCCTCCTTTTCAGGTTCTGAACGGACTTCGTTTTTCGACGATGTTTCTGCCTCTTCTTTAGCCGATGTCCGTTTCTCCGACGACATCTTCATTCCGGTAAACCTAATTTTTTCTTTCCTTCTTTTTCCCATTCTTTTCTTTTTATGGTTTTGGCCCATTACTTTATGTAATTCCAAAACTTTTCAATTTTAGTATTATTTAAAGTTATTTGTACTCTCTACGAGTTGAGTTTGGAAAATTTCTTTGGACAAACCCGACATTTGGGTTGGTTAAGTTATTACTCGAGCAACCCGAACTGAACTGAGTTCATAACTCAACCCTCTGTTCTCCCTATTCTCCCTCTATTTTCAGGTTGAATTATAGCTTAAATATCAGACTTATCATTAAGATTGGTTAAATGCCAAATATTCATAATTGTAAAGATACAATTGAATTGGATGGTAACCCTATTATGATAATGACAAATATTCATAATTTTAAAGATACAATTGAATTAGATGGTAACCCTATTATGAAGATAAGCCGTTGAAGTTTTAGGTTTTCTGAAATTTAACCTAAAACAAGAAAAAAATAATAATAATAATAAAAATCTAACTCAATCCAACTCTTAACTATTTGAATTGGATTATTCAAATGAAAATTGGATTATTCAAATTCTAGTAAATTTTGGAGTGTGTGCACTAAACAAAATAATAATATAGAATGAATTTAAAAAATGTGAAATAAAATATATGTACATATATATATATATATATATATATAACCTCACCTTTTAACTCATATTTGAAAATGGGAAGTCTAACCCAACCCTAATTCGGGTTTGAAATTGAGCCCTAGTTCTTCCGATTTGAAATTGAGCCCTAGTTCTTTATTGGGCCTCGTTCTGGTTTGAGATTGGGCCTGGTTCTTCCTTATGAGATTGGGCCTGGCCTAATTGTTACTCTGAAATTGGTCCCTCTAACTGGACCCTAATTCTTACGGTTTGAAATGAGAATCTAACCCTAATTCTTATGTTTGAAATTGGCCTAATTCTTACCGTTTGAAATTTGGCATTAATTCAAATGGGAATACAACCCAACCCTAATTCTTACGGTTTGAAATTGTGCTAGTTCATACCGTTTGATATTGGGCCTATTCTTACCGAGATTGGGCTCGATTTGAGATTGGGTCTAGATTAGGCCTCGTTATTAAGGTTTGAAATTGGCCTATTTGAAATTGGGCTAGTTTGAAATTTATCCTAATTCTTACGTTTGAAATTGGTTTTAATTCTTACGGTTTGAGATTGGGGTCTAACTCAACCTAAGAAATTATTATGTTTGAGATAGGCCTAATTCTTATGATTTGAAATTGGGCCTAGTTGTTTGAGATTGGGCCCGGTTTGAGACTGGGCCTAGTTCTTACGTTTGAGATTAGACTTAATTCTTACTGTTTCATGGGCCAACTTTTAATTGAGCCTAGTTCACGGTTTGAAATTGGGCTTAATTCTTACTATTTTATGGGCCTAATTCTTACTGTTTGATGGGCCTAATTTTTAATTGAACCTAGTTATTACGGTCTGCCTAATTCACGGTTTGAAATTGGGCCTAGTTCTTACCGTTTGAAATTGAGCCTAATTCTTGCGGTTTGAAATTGGGATCTAACTCAACCCAAGAAATTATGATTTTTGAGATGGGGCCTAATTCTTATGATTTGAAATTGGGCCTAGATCTTACCGTTTGAGATTGGGCCCAGTTCTTACCGTTTGAGTTGGGCTTAATTTTTACTGTTTGATGGGCCTAAAATTGGGCCTAGTTCTTACGGATTGAAATTGGGCTTAGTTCTTACTGTTTGAAATTGGGCCTAGTTCTTACCGTTTGAAATTGGGAGTCTAACTCAACCCTAAAATTCTTAGGTTTGAAATTGACCTAATTTTTAGGGTTTGAAATTGGGCCTAGAGATTGGGCTTAATTTTTAAGATGGGCTTAGTTCTTACGGTTTGAAATTGGGCCTAATTCGTTTAAAATTGTTGCTGGCTTAGGGTTTGAAATTGGGCCTAATTCGTTTAAAATTGTTGCTGGCTTAGGGTTTGAAATTGGACCTATTTGAAATTGATCAGGTCCTAATTCTTACGCATAATTTTTGTTTGAAATTGGGGACTCAATCCTAATTCTCAATTTTAAATTGGGAGTGTAACCAACATTATTTCTTACCGTTTGAAATTGGAGGGTCTATAGTCGGGTTATCCGATCACATGAACCCAAATAAATTTAATAAATTTTGTACATTCTTACCAAATAATAATATGAAAGGAATAAACAAAATTGAAAAAAAAAAAAAAAAAAAACTAACCCAACCCTAACCCTAAACCTAACTCCGTTTGAATTTGAAAAAAAAAACTAACCCAACCTTCTCCCTAACTCTTATTTGAAACTAACCCAACCTTCTCCCTAACTCTTATTTGAAACTAACCCAACCCTAATCCTCACACTTACCGTTAACCCAACCCTAATTCGAAACTTACGGTTTGATAGAAAATAATAATATAGAAAGAATAATATTGAATTTAATATTACTTGAAATTACACAGGATAAGGATGAATACGTGGAGATTGCATTTACATTTTAGTTTTATAATGATATCAAATATGTAAAAATATTTATGTTTATTTTATTTTTTCTAAAAATAAAATAAAATAAAATAATTGCAAACTTTGCCACTTAATCTATCAATCTTCTCAAATTTTACCCAAATAAATTCAAATTTTGCAAATAAATCCTTCCATTCTTATCCACGTTTATAAACACTATTTTCACTTTCCTCCATTTATTTTTTAAAATATTTTAAAAAAAATTAACAAAATTTCTTAAATTAGAAAAAATTATAAAAAAAATTAAAAGGCATCAAATTATAATTAAGTTTAATGGATAAAATTAAAAATTAATAATTTTTTAAATGAAATAAATCTAAATAAAATAATATGTTTTTATTTATTTATTTTAATTTATATTTATATTTTCAGTACAATGAGTTGGTTGAGTTGGAATGGCTTGCAAGTTTTGAAGAGGAACCGTTTTCCAGCGAGGATATGCAAAAGCTAGAACTCATCACCGGAGTCAAAGTCAAACCCGACGAGCCACCCCAATCCCACCACCCAACCAACGCGGTCTCCGCCCTCTCTCACGGCCGAAATGCAGCAGCTGCGATCTTCAAACCCGACATTGTAGCGGTTCCGGCGAAGGCCCGGAGCAAACGCTCACGCACCATCCCATCAAATTGGAACAACTCCCGTCTCCTCCCACTTTCTCCGACCAGCTCCTCCTCCGAGCTAGACATCCCGGCCACCGAACCGCCACCGCACCCGGTTAAGAAAGTCCCTCCCAAAGTGGCGGCGACGGCGACGGCGGCGGTGAAGAAAAAAGAATCCTCCTCCTCATCGGAGACCGGAATGTCGGCTGGAGAAGGGCGGAAGTGTATGCACTGTGCCACTGACAAGACGCCGCAGTGGCGGACGGGCCCAATGGGCCCAAAGACGCTTTGTAACGCTTGTGGGGTCCGCTACAAATCCGGGCGGCTAGTGCCGGAGTATCGGCCGGCGGCGAGCCCGACATTTGTGCTGACGAAACACTCGAATTCCCACCGGAAAGTGTTGGAGCTCCGACGGCAAAAGGAACTGCAGAAAGCGCAGGAACAGCAGGCGTTGATGATGGATCATCATCACCATCATCACCATCAGGAAATGATGTTTGATTCATCCAACGGTGAGGATTATCTGATGAAGCAAAACGTGGCTCATGATTACCTGCACCTGATCTGACCCCACCTATCCAAATTTCCATCCATTCAGTTTTTTTTCCCCTAATTTTTAGATGATTTTGTTTTTACAGTTCTAACAGATTTTTGTTTTTTTGTTTTTATTATTATTATTTTTTTTCATAGAAATTATCTCACAAACAAAAACAAAAACAAATTACAAAGAGTTATGAAGGTTATATCCAAACTTTGATGCACATTAAATTATAGTTCCCAAGTTTTGATGTATTAGAACATTAATTAATTAATTATTATTTTACGGTTCTATTTCTACTTCTACTTCTAAAATAATTTAGAGGTAAAAATAATAATTAATTTAACGAGATGGGTCGATGGAATGAGATTGATATTGATGATATTGAATTAGAAAGGTTTGCGAGAAAAGGATTTACGAAACAATTTATTTTTTAAATAAATAAAAAACAATTTATATGAGTTGCAAATTAATTTTCAATCAAAATATTAATTAATAATTAATTTTATGACAATCAAACAAAAGTAAATTAGGAAGTTGATAAAACTTAAAAGAAAGGGGAGACTTATACATAGGAGGATGAGAAGAGGAAAAAAAAAAATGAAAAAAAGGACATAAAAAAAAAAAAAAAACCATAATGGTATCCATGTGGTTAAAAACGGAGACTCTGCATAATGGTAGGATAGTGTATTGTCAAGAGCAGCCTTCTTCACGGTAATATGATATTATATTGGTTTTGACTAAAACGTCTCATACTATATGGAGCCTCTCTCGAGTGATATGATACTATATTGTCAATTTTGAGCATAAGAAGAGTTGAACTATGATTTTGACTAAAAGCATCGTACCATAGCCTCCGTCCTCAAACCTCCTTCATTTGGAAAAAAAAAAATTCATTTAATTTATTTATTTATAGTAAATTGAGGACTATTTTTAATGGGATATAGAACTTCCAGCCTATTTAAAGACCCTATTTACACCAATGTTAATTTTTTATTAAAAAAAAAAGTTTTTTTTTTTTTTTTTTTTTTTTTTTTTTTTGCTATTTACACCAATATTAATTTTTTATAAAAAAATTTTGGAATTTTTTTGCTTCTTCCAATTCCGTTGTTTTTATTGCTTTGCATAACTTTTTTTAAAAATCACTAAAAATTCTTTAGTTTTCTTTTTAGATCAAATTCTTTAACCAATTTATTTTTCAAATTTTTTATTTTGAAATTTCAAAATTTATTTTGATAATTTAAGAACAAAAATGAAACATACATAAAATTTTGTTAAGGTTGTTTAAAAACTATTTTAAAATATGGGTTTTTTATTTTTCTTTTTCTGAGACAAAATTCAATGAGCTAGTATTTTTGATATTCTTAACATCTTAATCAAGCATCTAAAAGACTTTTGTGGAAATAAAATATGAATCAAGATTGAAAATGGAATTATCTTATGAATTTGGTCTAACAATGACAGAGTAGGATTGGCAATTCCAACTCCCATAATCATTCAAGAACAGTGAACTTTGAAGCTATAGATAATAATGGCCCGAACTAGACGGAGGAAGAAATGGAGCTCACAGGAAATCAATACAGTAAAGAGATGCTAAAAAAATAAACTGAAAAAAGAACAAAGTAATGGAGAAACGGTTCACTGTGAGGTTTTTTTTTTTGTGTGTCCAAATGAACTAACCTTCGATGTCTTCATTGACCCACCTGGAACTGAAGTTTTACCTTGACTTATTCTGGAAGTTGAATCTTAGAACTTATTCGAGTAAGGTCGTCGTTATTCTGGAGTCGAATCTTGTCTCGTTGCTTCTAATCTACAGATTCATCAAGATCTAGTAGAAACCTGATGCTGCTACTCTAAAGCAATCCTTTGGATTCCTATACATCCAGTTTGGGAGTTGTTGGAGCTTCATTACTTTCCTCTGCAGAGGATTGAATTTTAGGTGAACCAGTTGGCGTAGAGTAGCTTGTTGATGGGTTATATCTCTTAAGCAGCCTGTCTTTGTTTTTACTCCACCAGTCTTCTGCTTGCTGTTCATCAAACTTTCTCTTGCTGCGACCAGACAAGCAAGGAAAAGAAATGCATCAAAGTATTCAAAGTAACAGTTAATGCATTCATGTCCATGTCCTGCATATGTATGTAAAATAATTTCAACTAACTTGTGCTACATTTCTCCTATATGATGATCATGGCACATAATTAGATGATATAGATTGTTTTCATATATCCAAGCCTATAGATTTCAACAAAGTGTTGTAGAGGAGATGATATGTGGTGTTCCTGATGCAGCTGAGATAGCGATATCTTTCAAATGCAACTGTTCTTATGGCAATACCTGAATCTAACGCGTTTGAAAATCTTGGTATCATTTGAAAGCACAACCAAAGTTACATAAACTCCAGGTTCAAATTGCTCAATAACTTGCTTTTCGCTTCCAGTTGGGGGTGTTGAAGATAATGGAGATCTAGAGCCATTTTCGGTACTTTGAGAAACTGCCTCCCTTGCAGAAGTTTTCTTACTTTCCAGAAGATTATTTACATTAACCTGCGTTAAGTCCTTCATTCCTGAAGTGACTAAATCGTCTTCTAGCCTCTTTGAAGAATCAGCAAGTGAGGGAGTAGATCCATTATTGGGTGTGTCAGCTTTTTCACGACTCGAAGGCAAAGACGAAGTTTTCGATGTCTCAACCATATTTAAGAAAGCTTCAGCTTGGGCATACATTGCCTTAAAAGTTTCACCATCAGATATCTCAGGTGGCAGTTTCTCAGTCATTTCCTTCAACTGAAAAACCAAGTTAGAGAAATTTACATTAGTCAACATGTGTCACTAATATTTGGATCATTGGTTAGCAATTCATGTCAAGTGGTTTTTCATGATAAAAGTTAAAAGATCAAAGTTCATGCTCCGGTGGCCATAGCAACATATTTTTAACCAAGGTATGAAACAGCTATTCACAAACCTGTTATAAAATTAGCGAGGCCACCAGTGACATCAAAATCATTCTTTCCAGTTATTTAACCAAGGTATGAAACAAAATGAAGTAGCTCAAATCGTAATATATTTGCTACCTGGTCTGTAATTGTAGTAACTAATTTCTTTGCTATTTTGCACCTGGAGGATTCTTCTTCAACTAATGAAGCCACTTCACTTACATTTTTGCACAAATTTCGAATTTCTGTATCTTGAGTATCAACTTTCTGCTTCAAGCTATAAACCTGAAAAACACGGAACAATGGTGAAACTAAGTTTCTTTGGATGTAGGTTTCTTCAAAAAGAATATAAATAAATAAGAATATTGCACAATTTTGGATTTGCAAAGAAAACGAGTTAATGCCTGGCGTTCAAGCCTTGAATTTTCTTGAGTCAATGTCTCATTTGATTTCCTGAGAGTCTCATTTGACCTCTTGAGACTATCAATAACAGTCTTCGAAAATCCTGGAGTAGATGAACGTGGAGGGCTTGGCCTCCTTGAATATGGTGATACAGGTCTTGAATTGCACATTGGAGGTGGTGATGCTGGTGCCACAGTTGCGGGCCTCCAAGCATTTTGAATAGCACTCAACGAACTTGGAAATGCAATGTCTTTCAGTTGCTGAAGAGATGGCACCTGAGAAGCTCTGACCATAGAAGGAGAAGATGGTCTACTCCCTGGTTTTACTGATTTAATCTCATGATATTTAACAGGTTCTGTGGTGGGAGACAATAGAACGCGAGAAGTTCTCACCTCCACCCTATCAAATCTTTCCTTATAATCTGTTGAATGACGACTGGCCGTCAATTTTCTATTTATAGCCAAATTGTTGCCAGCCTCAGCAGCTTTAAGTTTTGCATAGCAAGAATCACATACTCGGTGTGGTTTGCCTGGGGTAGGTGCCAATGCTGCTTTCAAAGCTTTCTTGGAGCTGCATGAATGACAATGCACCAGCCCACAGTTATAACAATTGTGCCTCTTCTTTGTGAAACCAAATGCTTGACGACAACCAGTGCAAACTGACTGATCTGCTCCGCTAACCCACTTATGAATACATATACTTGCAGTAAAGTTTGAACCACAAGATATACTTTTAACATGCCGGTCCTTCAGAGCTTCCACGAGTGTTGGGGATCTCCTATCCTCTACATCTCCATGTCCCAATCTTCCATTGGCACCCCTGCCCCAAGAAAACACTTCATTTCTTGATGTGAGAACAACTGTGTGACTTGCACCGCAAGAAATTTCTTCAACAAATTCACCAACTAATCTATCCTGCACTAAGCAAGGAATAACTCCATCTGAACTTGGATTGCCAAGCTGACCATATGCAGTACCACCCATGGTAAACACATGACCCGATGTGGTAAGAGCCACAGTCATGTTGTGTCCACATGCTAACTGGTGGAAATTGTAGTCTATGAGTGAAGAAACACAAGTAGGAAGAAGATAAGTTTCCTTGTTTCCATGACCCAAACGGTATTTGTCACCATCACCCCAAGTGAACAACTTTCTAGATGACATGTTTGAACCAGTCTGACCCATAACCTCAACAATAGCAGCAGTATGCCAGATTCCACAAGCAACTTTAATGGTCCTAAGTCCACTCAATAATTGCACCTCTCTTGGATATGCAATACTCTCCCTATCTCCATGGCCCAGTACACCATATGTTCCATCACCAAATGTGTATAGTTTTCCGTTGGAAGTTGCTAGTGCTGAATGCCACGTGCCACATGCAACAGATAAAACTTGAAGCCCTTCCAAAGGACCGACAACTCTTTTGGGTATCCAGTGACTAACATCAGTGCCATGACCAAGAATTCCAGAACTAAATATTCCATCACCCCAAGAGAATAAATCATTTGAAGAGGTTATGGCACATGAATGATACTCACCACAAGCTACAAAGTCTACATTACTAACTGCCAGAAACTCAACAAGACGGGGGCGACTAAAGTCTCTATCAACTCCATGACCGAGCCGTCCCCCACATTCTTCACCCCATGTGAAAACCTCACCTTGCCTCGTTACGAGAGCAATGTGTCGGACACCGCAAGCA